GCGATGACGTCACGTCGGGGACCGATGGCGTCGTCCGACTTCTAACCAGTTGCTTTCTAGGTAAAATCGATGTCGTCGTTGCGCACAAATGTTAATTCCGTGTCCGTTTTTCCCGTCACAGATACAAATTACAAGCTGACAAATGCAGGTTTCGTTATGCTGCATGTAAATGAGGCATATCTCGAGCTGAGGCGCCGATGAATTATTGATAATGTAATTTAAGAGGTATTTTTGGAAACTCGTTTATGCGAGCATTCGGATGCAAATTTATTTAAATCATCTACGTTGACAAAGGCGTTTTATTAGAAAGTTTGAGACGCATCGCGGCGCATCCACCATTTTTAATTAGCCGAGAGAAAATGTTTCAATCAATATGCAGTTGCGGGTTTCGAACTGAAACGGTCGGCAATATTTTATTGCCGTAGAATGTTGGGGTATAAACAAGGTATATTTGGAGAAAGAAATATTTTTAAAGCATGTTGCGCACTTTCCTAAAAGACACTAAAAGTTATCCCGGTAGACCGTTATTAAAATAATAATCAGGAACATTCGCTTGCAGTTACAACTAGCAAAACAAACTTCTTTTGAAAAGGTGAATCGCTAAAAAAATCACCAAACTATGTATTAGAAATAGTTTTTTATCAGCATTACAATGCTCTCTGCGGTGAATTCATACCAAGAAAAATTATTTTTAACTGTTCTCGAGAGCTTTCTCTGCACCAAGTATGTTGAAGTGCATTCACGCAAAACTTCACAACACTTGAGTTAATGCGGTCATACTTTGAAGAATAATCCTGGTCCCATCTCCAGAGATAATTTTCGCGGAGACGGAAAACCCAACACAGTACAATGTAAGTAAATTAAAAACGTCAAAATGGATAAATTAAACAAACCTAAACATGAACAAGGATGAAGTGTGGGTTTCAACACCCTCCACGTCAGTTCTGTCGAGAAATAAAAAATCAGATTCGGCGGAATAACTTTTAAATTAATGACTTTGACTTCGGATGCGCATAATTCATTTAAGTAAACTCGTCTCGACAAAAGTTGCGTCGTGGCGCATCCACCGTTTTTAATTTCAAAGAAAAATGCGTCAATCAATATGCAATTACCTACGTGTTTAAAATTGAAACGGCTGTCATTATTTTAGTGCTATGGGATTTGGTTCTATTGATTTTACTCTATTTTCACACTGCACCAATTACCTACTCGTAGTTTAATTTTTAATTATTTTGATGAAGTGTCCACGTCTCCTGCATATTTAATGAGGCAAAAACTGATTCGTTTTAAAATAATTTCGTCCGTTTTTGTAAAAAACGCACATTAATAAATAAACGTAGCCCAACAAAGAGCCTCAATTTGCGTAAGATTTTACTTCGAGACGGGTAAGGGTTTCTAATAAGACGCAAATTTGTTTCCAGATGGATGGGATTTAGACAATGGGGAATTTTCGAAGGCGAATTTTGAATGTTGTTAAAATTATGCCGCGGGCGATATATTAGCGAAGTTTTCGTAAAGGTTTCATTTTTAAAGTTCCGCAACTTTTTCAACAGACGCTTCAGCTTTATTGATCAAACAGCGTATTGTGGTATCACGTCTAACGTAATTAAAATTATTTCCATCAGTGGGCACGTCGTTTCATTATGCTTGTGTCAACACAATGTGGTACGAGGTATTATTGAATTTATGGAATGTCTGTCTGATCACCACAAACAAAACGCAGCATAGTTTACTGTAGTAACGGTATAGTTGTAAAAAAAAAAAAACAAAAAAAAAATGGATGAAATTATTTTGTCGCAGGAAACGGCTATGGTGCAAAATGGTGGATGCGCCGGGATTTCATGTAATATTTTTCTAGATGGTAACATGTGCAATTTAAATTTAATAATGAAAACTATTTTGTGAAATAATAATAAATCTGGTGAGAAAGTAACTAAAAAATAAGACAACCCTTGGCCAAAAGTGTACAACACTTTATTCATTTTTTTAAACAAAGTGTTTCCTATAAATTTCCCGATTATGCCCTTGTTTATCTAAATTTATATTTTCCTATACGTCCGCCGCACAAATACGCCCACGTATCCGTGAAAAAGGATGGGAGAGAAGAATTGCTTCCATTCAACCTCCAATTTATGAGGTGTCGGGAAGCAAGTCAGATATTCGCCTTAGCGTTTGTTTCGTATCTCGTCGAGAAAAAAAATCAGAAAAGCAAACAACTATTAATTCCCTTTACCCCCCAGAAAGAAATCATAAAGCATTTCGTGGGCAGAAATACCACTTGAAAGACAATACAGTCATATTAAATTTCGTTTACTTCGTTAGAGAATCGCAGAAAAGCGGAGGCGGCGTAAGTTCAAATGGTAGTGGCTCAACTTTGAGATTCACTTTTGGGAGAGGATTTTAAGGTATTTGTGTAATTTAGCGGAAAGTGTGTAAATGTCATAATCCCTTGGAAAATGTCTCAACTGTCGTAAACATTTTAGCGAATCCTTTTAGTGAGACGACGTAATGATGCAGCTCGCAAAAATTTATCGTTGCGTAATACCTTCTAGATTTCGTTAAATTATTGTAATTGGAAACAAATGGCTTGATTTCACGCCGTGTTTTTCGTATTGCTTTGAGTGAAGTAATAAAATAACGCGCGCACCTGTGTTCCCTCCCGAAAAACTATTATTTTCGTTTTACGTCCACGAAAATTGCTACTATAAACTGCTCAATTTACTTTTTTTATCAATTTGTTGCCTTTTTATATAGTCATTTCACAGAGGACCCCGTATTTGAAACAAAACAAAAATCGTGTTACTTTTATTTAGCCGAACGTACATGAAACAAATCAGAATTGTGAACGCCGGTACTTTAACCATCTCTGTCACACTTAAAATCAAGAAACAGTTCAAAGAAATCTCGCCAAAAAGCGTCTCTTTCTATTTGCAATTAAACTTAGGGATCCCAACAACAGCCCTTATCGTTTCCCCCGACAGACAAATAACATGGGTGTGGATCTGGGAAATCCTGAATTGGGAACGGGATTCAATGTAACGATCTTGAACGGATCAGCTGAGGCCGCCGCGGCATCGATTTCTTGCAGAATCCTCTTGTAATTTACCGTCTTTCTTTACTTTGGTCGTGGTGGCTTGAGATCCGTTGGAAAAAATTAACTGATTAAATCTCCGTCACGAAAGCAGCCGTAGCTTCATCGTAAAGCGCGACACAATCAGCGAAATTCGTATTTATAGTGCCCTGATTACGATCCAATAAGTGCCACTAAATCGACTAAATTTAGAACGTTTCGAATGCAAAAATATTCAGGGGGAATCTGGATAATTGACACGAAAAGGCAAACCGCTTTTATTGACAGCAATTACGATGATTTGCCGACTCTTTTGGACATTTCTCGAACCGAGCGGACGATTTATTAAAGGTTAACGGTTCGTGAGCGTGACAAAAGAATATGAAGTGTGAAAGTTTATTCAAATGTTCGGTTTTTGAAACGTTCATGAATGTCTGACGCTAGGTTGCTAAAAAAATAACATGAACGGTGTTTTTACGTCAAGTTTAAAATTCATTAAATCTGTGGTATGGATAATGGTACTATGTTTTCCCAGTGCGATTCGACTTTTTTAGCGGTAAAATAGTTGTTTATTTCATTCGTTGTTCAATTTCGCTATCTTTCGCTTTTCGATGTCTGCTACGTATTAACTGTTTTTTGACATCCTGTATACCACATATACAAGGTGGTGATCATCTTTTCTCATTACAATAATCAGGAAAATCATTAAAAAAAATTGAATTATTTCATCAGTTTACAAGAGATAAAAAAACAATAAATAGTCGATTTTTCAAATTTAAACACATTTTGTATTTAGATTTGTGTGTTTTAAAAATGTGTACAGTTTTGAAGGCGATTTTCATCAATTTTTAAGCTTATTACAGACAATGTCGCTTTTAGTACTGAATATATGCTCCAAAAAAAGAGGGTTAAAAAGTTTGGGACTTGATTTTAAAATAAGCTAGAAACGTCGTCTGAGGGTGTTTATTTTTAATTTTGTTATCGTCGCACCATAGAGTGCGAGATTTCGCAGGAAGCAACCCCGACAATGCCTCTTCAGCGTATTTTTCTACATAATCATTCATTTTACCGCGAATTCACTTTATCGTCACAAGTTTAAAAGTTTCCATACAATTTTGTCGGAATTGTTACTGATTGCTATGGTAACGGAGAAGGTAGTGGCAACATATTTTCGTTACAAAACAAATTCACTATTTTTTTTATTAATGAAAATCGTAATTAAAAAATGTTAATTTTTTTTTATAAAAACCAGCACAAAAATGGTAGATGCAGTCTTATTTTCGGCGCTTGATATATAAATAACTATTACGTACGATTTCCGCTTTTGCTTCTTTATTCTTTCTTGAAAATCATAGCTTTCGTCCTTTACCATGTATGTTTCCACAGCATCATATTTTTTAATCTGCGGTTTAATTTGTCATTCGTCGAAATAGATAATAGTTACAAGAAAAACAACATTAAACAACCACCCAATATTTTTGTTCGATAACCTCCACCAAACTGTAACTAAGTAGATGCTTTTATTATATTATCTAAAAAAGTGTCTTAATAAGTGCCCATATTACAAACTCTTTAATTTTATGCTTCAAACGTTCGCAACGTTTGCTTACTCTTTGCCTCGCGAGGAAATGCGTATAACGCACAGACCAACACGATAGATAAATACTTTGAATATTTAAACCTCCCCTAATATTTGTTTCAATTACAAGCAATTAAAATGGTCTTTTTTGCAAAAAATGGCGCTCAGTATTGTGAAACTTCGCCGGACTACAAAATCCCTATTAATCTGATGGCGCCTCTTCAAATTAAGCATTATTCTCGTATACCCCCAGCCATTGTTACCACCGCCACACCACGCCACGACTTAAAAATTCACGGCCCTTCTCTGAATCGTCCCCGAAAATCCGTCCCAAATAATTTAAATACTTACTCTCTGCGTTGTCTAATTTCCTACTAGCAACGATCACCCAAAAAAATTTCACATTTTCAGGTGTAGCCTCGTCTGACGAACCGAAAAATCGCGTTGTTGGCACATATTACTCACGAGTATGACTATAATGGAAACGTGTTTGTTGACTGAAGCTCTTTCCTGAGCTTTCGACTCGTTACTGAAGCTTTGTATCGGTAGTCGTCGCTATCGACCATGATGCTAGGACCTTGTGTTGTATGGATCGACCCGTCGCCACCGCCACGCCGCCGCCGATTCGTCCAAATTGGCGGGAGATTTCGGAAAGCCATACGGCCTAAACGACTTTTCGGATCTCGAGGCATCAGCAGCCGGCTGCCGGCTGGTCGCCATTCCTGGTGACGAGAATGCTTATGCAGGCCATTGTACAGCAGCGTATTGTTCTGTCCTGCAAAATCTAGGTATGTACAGTCGACTTCGAATGCAAGGTTGTTGACTGCAGTAGTGACGTCACTGGTGCGGTGGCGCCTCTAGCGTCGCTGTTATTTCTTGACCTAACAGCATATATTCATTCACTTTGCGCTTTGTTGGTGTTTCTTGCACATTCTTCATCACTTTACTCAAGAACTGCCAAATGCTCCGGGTTTGCATCCGAAGCGGTTCTTTTCTGTTTCGTTCGACTGTACACAAAGTTGTAATAATTAATAACAATTTGAGGTAAAATAATTGTCTGATGGAAGAGAAGGTAGCTGCTTTTGTTGGAAAGTGTAATTTAGGATCTAGATTAGCAGATTGGATTACAAATTAAAACTTACTTTGGGCCTGTTGTGAAAGTTTTAACGTGATAAAAAAATTAAATCTCGGGAAAGATTCCAAAGCTAAATTTTGGCTTTTCACATTAGGGAATTAAAAGATTCACTTTAAAAAAATAAATTCTATTTCTTAGCGAAATACAACGTTTTCTGGTTGCGCAAGTGCCAACATCCATTTTTCCTGGATTTCAGATCCCGAAATAATAAATCTATTTTCAACACGGTTTCGTTTCTCCTCAAGCAAAAAAAAAAAATAAAACTTATTTTCATTGCCGACGATTCTTTTCTTTCGCAGGCGGAAAAAGCGCCGGTCACATGTGCCACTTTAATTAATAATATCGAGAAAAAATTTCCGTTTCGGTGCTTTCTACGCCGATAAAAACGGGAACAATAGGCGCAGATAATGTGGAATTTGTGAATGAATGTTGCGTGGGTTTTTAGAGCCATTATGTGTATTAAAGACAGGATGGTGAGTATGCAATACAGAAAAAAAAATGCGTCGCTAAAATGAGTTCGGTTTCATTAGTGCCGAGATCCTGGTGATAAAACGACGATTTCACCACGACTGATAAAAAGATTAGAAATGCAGTTTAACGAACATGTAATCATTAGGCTTGAATATCAAGAATAATAATTGCTCTTAATGCACCTGCACTGTAGGAGAAAAAGCAAACGACGTGTGGTTTCGTTGAAAATAGTCGTGCAAATTTCAAAGTTTGTTGCTCTGAGGAGCATGAAAATTTGGCACTCCCTCCCAAATTCCTTCATCGGAAGCATCGCCTCAAGGAAATTGTATATAACGGTGTGGTTATACACGCTACATACAGGTGAATCGCCTGGCGCTTTTCGGCCCGTGCCATTTTGCGTCTGTTTCCAGATAAACAAAATTTTCACATCTTTAATTCGATAAATCGAGCAAAGTCACGGTGTGGTTGTTTACTTTGCACATTGTTGGTACAAAATTTAAATACTAGTGGATAAATGAAGTGAAACTGTAAAATTTACTTAATTAGTAATATCAATAAGCCGATCCTGAACGCCAAGTTTTTATCGGCAATGGAAAGTCATAATACATGTGTCAGAAGTAATAGAGTAGAACAAGTTGAAGTTGTAACTACGAGAAAGTTATTTAAATTTCTTAATTCGATCATAATTGTATCTGTATGACACTAGCGTATATCTTAATTGCACATAGCTCTCCAACGTAATGAATGCGACAAATCAATTACCGAGCATTTGCTCCGAACCTGCACCCACAAACAATTTCTCCATTTAAGGTCAACAAAAACCAAAAAAGATTTAGTTTTATTCCTATTTAGAAACAGGCGGCACAACGACTGTGTTTTTACTAGATATTCAACCCCGACAACTAGAAATCGCACGATGAACTTTAAATTTCACTCAGTTCTTGCTAGAAACTCCAAAACACACACCGTAATTTATTTTTTATTATTTTTTTAATATGTTATTACAACTTTTTTTTTTTGTGCAGTTAGCTTTAAAAAGGCCTACTTACTTTTCTACGATTAAGAGATCTACTATGATAAGAATAAATTAGCTATATTTTTTAAGAATTTTAAAATTGATGTTAAGACTTTTCAACTTTTGAATGGATATAGTGCAATAATGTGATTTAAGAATTATTTCTGAATGCAAAAATTTTCATTTAACCGTCAGAAATTAAGATTAAAGTGATTTTTACCACTTGCTCTTGGTGTTCATTACACCCACTCCTACGTCTTCTCACGCCTGTAACTTTAACTTGAAGCACGCTGTGAGTCCAAAAATCAGCACTTCCCTTGCAAAAACATTTTAATTCTGCAGCAAACGTTTATTTTCCCCCACATTTTCACATTAAAGCCAATTCAAGTTACTGGTCTTTTCATTAAAACGCTCCACCTCCACTCTGAACTACGTGCGATATTAATAATGTAGATCGTTTCTGCTGTCACCTCCAGAAGTGCAAAACAATATGTTGAGATTAAATCAAAAGATACAAGAGCAATTGAGGTGAAGTCCCAACTCACATAAATTTCAACTTGCTAAACTAGATCTGTCCTGTCAAACTTGTGGGAAACTGCAAGAACGGGCAAACAATTCACAAACTTGAAATAACGTCATTTTATTACGCCAAAAATCCATATAAAATTCCCAATCGAGTATATTACTAGTCGCAACTTTCTTCCAACGCAAAATAAAAATGTCCGTCGACATGACCGAGCAAAAATCGCCCTGCACCACAATGTCAGTGGCGGAGCGAGAACACATTTTTTAAGGAAAATCCAAAGCGATTTGTCAACTTTTAAATTATATCTATTACTATTAATAACGTCAAGACAAAAGATTTTTTTATGGCTTTGTTTCGATTGCGCAAAAGTTTACGCCAGCTTGTAATTTTTTTTTATTAAAAGTTTTGGAGGAAAAAAAAAATTACTTGCCATTGAGCATTTTGACCAAATTGTTGTAACTATTGTAACCAACCAGTGTCAAAATAAACATACAATTCCGCTGCTTTTTTAATTTTGTCAGTTTTGCTGGCGTTAGGGCCGTGGGTACGGTGTGCCTTCCCATGCCGACGTCCCTGTCCAGCGTTCGCGGCACCAAAGAGCACGAACGACATGAATGAATGTTAGAAATTAGATAACGTGGAGGGACTCGCGCTGGCGAGAATTGAGAATGTTCAACGTGAATTGTTGTGTTTCCACAGAGCCGGCTTCAGTCTCCTTCACGATATGACCGAGTCAGCCAGTTCTCGAATGTCGTCATTATCCGGTCGCTGCCTTCTTTTTGCGTTCGTTTTAGCTGTTTTCGTTCTGTAACTGCTACGTTCCATCATTTCAGTGGCGATTTAGACATTTTCTTTAGTGCGGTGGTGAGTTTTTGGCAATTTTTCTATTCGGGACGAGGCGGGATTGTGAACGATGGGAAGAGTGCCGATGGTACGACTACACGTTTGTTTGGTAGTACTTTATAACAACAGTAGAACAGGTTATACGTGCACATTTTGGTTAACTGGATGATTTTGACTACGGTTATGAGAGGTTGCATGCATACATCAGCTGTGACCTAGCTAGCAGAAAATTTATTAATCGTTTATAATGTACCGCTACAAGGACACAGCTTTGCTCGTAAAACAATACGTTTACAGTACTTTGTAAATAGTACCGGTTGTTTGAGGTGTGATTTTTGCTAATGACGGTAAATTATTGTATCATGACGGAAGGTCGTTTGCAAAGATATTTTTTTTAATTGCTAGCAGAACGTCACGGTCGCCATTGCGGCAGTTCTTATACTTAAATGGTTAATAAATATGAACGTGAGAATAAATTTGGTATACCTTGAACAAAAAGGAATACTACCATAATTATTACCATTATGTTATTAAGATAATGATAGTAGGAGTATTATGCATGGAGGTGCCGTCTACAGTATATTTTAACAATTCACCAAATTGTGTTTTAAGCGGAGAATTAGTGATTCATTTCAAAGAAAATTTTGTCCAAAAAACATGCGACTTAAATTTTTAACCAAATCAAAATTGTGTATAACCCAATATTTTAAATTGCCTGTAGTGCTACATCCCCTAAACAACGGAACTACCTATAAATGGAAAAATATTCAACAAAAATTATTCTGTAGTCTGCAAAGTGAGAAAAAATCCAAAAATAAGAAATACTGTATCTACATTTTTAAAATTACTTCAAAATGTCTCGCAGTTTCACATCAAAATTTAATATTTCTGTTTTTTACGATTAAATTAAAATAACTTAGAATAAAATTAGCCACTTTGGGTGTATCTATTTATGACGGCGTAATTATAAAAATCACAAATTATGATTTAAGTAAAAAGTAGTCGTTACTTAATTTCGAGAAAGTCGTATTGGCCACCATTTACAAATTCTGAAACGATTTGCGTAATATTTAGGTATTGCCCTATGATTGCCGGTGGTCAGGCACTGTAAGAATTTGTAAATGAAAAAACAAAAAACTGTTGCAGTTCGGTTTCGAGTTGTAATCATGCAAATTCTAAAAATGTATAAACCAAACGATACAACAAATCCAACAACTGCCGAAAATACACAGACGGTTTTTTCCCGTCACGCCGCGTCCGTTTATCGTCAGGCTTAGTGTTATCGATGCTACTTAATGTAACAACCCACAAAAAATATATTAACTGTAAAACAAAGTAATTCAAGATATACGATAAAATTTACGGTGCATGACGCTCCGAAGCGACCAAGCCAAACTTAACGTAACATTATAAAAAGCCACCTCTTCGAAAAAAAACTATGAGAAAAGTAAAAACAGTGAAAGTCTCATTAAAAGAAAAACTGTAGCTGACATGGGAATCTCATACTCATTTCGGTTTTGATAAAGCATAAAATTAATCGACCACGCACATGTTCTATCTAATTTGCAACGTGTTTTTAATTGTTCAAGAATTTAGCACGAAGATCAAATTAACAACGAGGAAAACAATAAGAGAAATTTTCGAATAAAAGTGTCGGCGCTCGTGCAAACAGTAGATTAAGCACAACAGAGTTTGTCATCGAGACATTAAAAATAAAGTCAGGAGCGGATGTGACATAATGGTAATAGAAAAGATTTCCGGACGTCCCCTCGGTAATTATTACACACCTAATAGGATATAAGGCAACGTGACAGGAATTGTTTTGGGTTTTTAAGGTGCAGAACGGCACGACGTCGAGTGGTAGATTCAATTCAAATTTTTCTTTGTTGGATCATGCGATGACTTCAATCAATTGCCTCACAAATCATAAACGATCATTTATTCAAACATGCTGCTAATGTCAAGCATGTTTCGAAACCGCAGTTGAATAAATTAAGCCACAATTTGTGGATTATGGGTGCAAGTTCAGTTTCCAACACAAAATCGATGTCGGTCAAGTGATACGATGATACTCGGAATTAGTTTAATTAGTGGTAAATATCGACTTTCGCCAATTACCACTGCATTTAATTTGTTTCTAATTACTGATCATCTAATGAGATTAATAATAATTATATAAGACAGACATGAACAAATTATAAATCTTCCGACTGCCATAACTGTTCGTTCGGTGCAGCCAACTCAACTCTTACATTGAATTACATAAGGAGTTGTACCTCCTCGGGTGCCAGGAAGTGTTGCAAAATGCTAATGGGTCGCTTTTTCTGTCTCCGTGTCATCTTCGCTTTTTCATCGAGCACTTATCTCATAAACCAAATAAAAGAGAGAAAGCTGAATTAGACGAAGTACTCAAGGACATCGACTATGTCTAATGAGATAAAATCACCTTAACGCGGAAACCTGCCGAAGAAATTTTGCAATTTAAAGTGGATTCGTAAAATCAAAATAAATTTAACATGAACGTAACAGATGGAATTATTCATGAGAGTTTTTGAGTGTGTGGCTGAGAAAAGTGGAGCACAAGTGCGTTTGGTTACTCGCAATTTATTGAAACTGTTATCCTTAGGCATCTACACGAAGTTTCAACATAAAAATGGTTCAGGGGTAATGGAGAGTTAAATAAACCAGTCGTATTTTCGGAGGATGCAAACCAGTTGGACCGAGCTCTTGACGACCTTCTAGATTAGCATTAGCGTCAAATGTCACATAGATTGACCGATTAATTAATGGCGACAGGTTTTTTGCAGATTACGACTTCATTTGCAATAAAGGATTCATAAATATGGATCAATTACTGCGCTTAGATTTATTTAACGTAGTTTCCTTTTATGCTTTTTTAATGCGATAATTTACCGCTGCATATATCGATTTCGAAGCGTAAACGAAACAAAATAGTTTTATGAATTATGACATAAATACACAGATTTTATCAACACGCAGAAGAATATATGTATTTATTTCGTATCCAAAGTTATTAACGACAATTTGAAAAAAAGGTACAATTTATTTTTACTTCCCGAGCGTAAGCAAAGGAAGTATTGTAATCGAGTCCGTCGGCCGACTCTCTACTTTTACGTTTTCTCGATCTTTCATGACCCCTAGAAGACGAAGAAATAGGTCTCCCATTTCCGTCTGTCTGTCCGTCTGTCCGTCTGTCCGTCTGTTGTCACGGATTTTTATTAGACAGATAATCTCCGAAAGTACTCGACCGATTGTTGTGAAATTTTGTACTTATATTAAGAATATCATGTAGATGGTAAAACGCTAACCAAAATTTGTCGAATCATCCCCACCACTAAAGCGATGACCTCACTTCAAAATTGTACATAGTAAATGGGTTTTCAATTGTATAAAATAACATAGTCCTACACATGTAGTTTACAACTCTGAATCGACTTTTCACCCGAAACGTCCAGATTTTTGGAAAAAAAATCAAAATTATAAAACAACATTTTGAAATTTAATTTTTAATCTGCTAACCAGAATGCTTTGAAATGTTGCAGATGTTTTAAGGCTATAAAGAGCATCATAAATCTTTAGTCAAAAAATATTTGCTTATCCCCTCCAAAAACTTGATGACGTCAGCTCAAAAGTTTGTGGAATAAATCATATCTAAAATGTACAAAATATGATGAGTCTGTACTTGTGAACTATCACTCCATTAATATTTTTTGGATTTGCATATACAGGGTGACTCAAAAAAATTAATGAATGCGTAAATATATTTTATTGATTTAATCAGGAACTACAAAACCGAATGCTCTGAAATCTTGCAGATGTTTTAAGGTCATAAAGAGCATAATAAATGTTTAGTCAAAATATATTTGCTTATCCCCTCCAAAAACTTGATGACGTCAGCTCGAAAGTTTGCCGAATAAATCATATCTAAAATGTACAAAATATGATGAGCCTGTACTTGTTTGTGTGTTGATAATGTGTTTGATGTAAATTTTCGAAGATTAGTGTCTATCTACTAACAGTTGCAGTGCTGGTCCGTAAACCGCCTTTTGACTTTTAGTTCCTCCAGCCAACAGCTAGTCAAACATTTAAAAAGTGTCTTCGACTTGGTCGCTTTGTAACAACGCAACAACGGTTAAAATCGTATCGCTGAATATTCATCTACTCTGCAGCGTAATGGGAAATATAATCACATGATGTAACAGCTTACGAGTGAATTTTGCACTGCATTGCACTTTCCATGTTAATGAGTCGACGACCAACTAGAACAATCTGCAAACGCAGTGATGTAGAAGTTTTCAAAATCCGTTACGATTTTCGCAACTTCAGAACAATACGAACTTTTATTCTATCAAACAATTAAATAAGTACCTATCATTTAATGATGGTGATTCGAAAACCTTCAAGGTTTCTCCAAGTAGAACAAGTTCTGACATTCAGCGAGATGAAACGGCCTTACACATGATTATTACTTACATATTATATTAATCTTATTGTGATAAAGACTTCGTATTTTTCGAGCTCGCTTTCGAGAGGAAAATACTGGATCGGGATCTGTTGCGTTAGAGAGAAAGAACAATGTAGCATTATGCAAGTAGTTAAATTATTGTTTTAGTATACTGATAGTTAATTAATTGTTGCAACAAGTCAAAGTTGAGAAACGAACGTTTCGAGGATTGAGCGTACAGCGGTCAGTTGGCAAATTAACCTTTAAAAATTTAATTTCTCTGTAATTTTCCGCTTTACGAAATGCGTGACAAATAGTTTGTAGCAACTTCATCGATCGAAGCATCAATCGGAAAGATATTTTCAATAGCGGCACATGTTGATCGCGTGTTTACGTTCGATTCATAACTCAAATCAACTTCTAATTTAGAACTGTTTCCAGATCCGACTCGCTTTTAGTTGAAAACCAATTAAAACTGAAGTCGTTAAAGATGCACAAGTACTTCTCACCATCGATTCCGTGGCGCTAACTCATGCAACATGTTATCCACCAATGTCCTGTGCATCAAAAAGAAGAAGAAGAGAAGCTACTGCATCGTCAACAAAGTAGAAAATGGATCCGGTTCCGCCGAAAAAAACAAAAGGTAACAATTTTCTCCCCATCAGAAATTAAAGCGCCCCTTGAGTATGAGAAGTTTTCACAATGCCTACCACACAAGCACATCTAATTAACTTTTTGCATAACAACGCATTTACTCTTATTTGTGGTAATTTTAAAGTCATTCTTGCAGAATGGGATGAAGACAAAAGCATTGTTTGATTAAAATTATATCACGCAACCATAAGTCAGTCCGAGGTTCTCGCTATTATTAGCCATTATAATCTGTTTATTGTCAATGTTGCCGTTCAGGAATAATAAAATTGTTGAATAATTCTGCTCAACACAACGTAGGTTTGATATTGCATAAATTATTAAGGAATGTGCCATGATCACTACTTGTTTTCTTACACAACACCTTGCCACTTTTGCCTGAAATTCCGAGACGAATGTAGGTGGCTTTTTGTCTCGTCGAGAGCAAACCGACGACAAACTTGGAAATTTGTTGTCGAAGGTCGGGTTTGCGTTTTGACGCAGTATTTTCTCATTCGGTTTGTACATTACAATAAAAAATCGAGAACGAAATTTAACAAAAACGCGAGCTGCATTTCAAAAGTATTAGTTCTTAAATTTCTCGAAGACACTAATCCTGTCTAATTTTCCAGTTTTAAGTAACTAAACCTGTAAGGCAAAAACACAAACCGACTTCAATAATTCACCTTGCCAGGAATGCATTTTTGTCGATATCGTGCATTTCAGGGTTCACCTTGAGCCGCTTAAACGTACGGTCTTCAATGTTACAATTAAATGGTTATGCAACGAAACCCATTGGTCAAACGTTGTTCTCGTTCTCGACAAAAAACGGCGAATCTCCACAATACCACTCGTTAAATATTGGCTAATTGGTAAATTTATAATTGGCTCACCGTGTAACTTAATTAGGTGGAGAATTTCCAATTATGATCGTCCAATTAGCGCTATCACCACATCAGATGTACTAATTCGCCACAATCCGTCTCCCTTGAATCCCAATTTTCGAAAATGACACAACTCTTGTTCGACCTTGCATTCTACGTTTCCGCCGAGAAAACGGCACGCCTTGCCGCTAAAATGGTCAATTTCTTTAACGAAATGAATAATTGTTTCGCTCATTATCTCCGTTTAAATGTTTAACCTCTTTTGCCACGGACCCTTGTTTACTTTCTTTCGCAAGGGGTCTTTAGTTCTTAACGCTTTAACAATGTACAGGTATATTCGATTACACAAAAATCGAAAAAAGTCTAATCTAAACCAGTTTAGCGCCGCGAACAGCAAAACAAAATGTGCATAATACTCATATATACGTAATAATTATGATTTTTTTGTACAATTTTCGTTATTTTTGTTATTTTCCGCAACAGAAAGGTTGTTATACGAAAAGAACCGATTAACTGTCGAACAGAAGAACCTTGGAGATACCTTCAATTACACAAACATTTCAAAAAATCCCATCTAAACTAAACCAGTTTAACGCCAGACCGACAGGAATGCCACATGGTCGTCTCTAAATGGGCTCCCGAGCCAGTTTTAACGCTGCGACTTCTTCCAGCCCCCAGGATTATAAATCTGCAACTTGTCCCTGTTCATTATTTTAATAGCAGTACCGAACTTGTTGCGCTTGCTATTTGGAATGCGTGCTGGGGATTTTATTTCTCCGTGTACTTAAAGTGGGAATGCATATACGGATTACTTGGAAGAGCTGCTGGATCTTGGGATTTTGTGGCTTGGGGGGATTTTTTCTTGTAATTTCGTCGCAGCTGGGTTTAACCGTCCAAGAAGCTTTGTTGGAAATGCGAAAAAATGTAATTCCGTTTAATACCGACGCAAAAATAATTTGCAGGTGAAATTGATGTATCTATGTAGATCACGAAATGGATAAATGCCGTGGAAAAAGAGCAAAACCTTAAGAGGGAAACCGATATCACTAAAACGAGGTTAATGGGCTCTAAATGAAGGCAAACTTAGGCTATTTAAGATTTTGAAATACCATAAACGTGGCACAGCAAAGTGACTATAAAGTGTTAAAAATCAAGAAAAGGAAATTAAAAAATTGTCGAGTTGTCATACGCCGTTTAAAATATATATTGTAATAAATTGAAGGCACGCCACCGTCAGATCTAAAAATCAAACCCATTGTATAGCCGGGAGTTAAAACCTGAAATCAAATTATTAAATACAGATATTCTGAACATTTTGAAACACATATTTTAAAAAGTCCAAGTATCCTCAAAAATAGAACAGTCGATATTTCTATTGAAAAAAAAAAAACGATTTCTTATGCGAATGTTGCAGTTGTACGACTGTTTTAAACCTTAAGACTAATTAAAAATCATTCAGTGAATCGAACAAAAAACAATAAAACATTTCTATAGACTTTTAATTAGAGAGATCGCCTTATAATGAATCCAAGACCGTACGGTCATCAAAACAATCGGGTTAAACCATGCTCTGAAAATATTAACAACAAATTAATTTCAACAGTGTCAAGTACAACTTTCCCCGCCATGCCGTATATTGTGCAATATATTGGCAATTTCGCGCCTGGCGTGCATGCAACCAACAATTCGCCTCGATCCGTTAAACCGTCAACTGGCAGGTAGATGAATGGGGGCCGCAAATGTTTGAAATGCGTACACAAAGCGGTCGAGCTTCCGTAATTTTAAGCTTAAATTGATGTCGTTCTTTCAGTGCAGTGACAAAAAAAGTGTCTCTACGAACTGTTTCGTTTGGAAAATCCAGTATCTAGCCGTGACGCGATCGGAATTAAATGCAGGACATGAAGAAGAGAGAAAAGTAAGCAGCGGTGAGTTAAAAACAGCAAAACAAGCAAGAGTCGTTATTAACGACTTTTTACCAACGTCAGGAGACACGGCTCATGCTCGACGTAATAACACGTGTCTTATTTGATTCTTCTGCAGCAAGAAAATTGCTTCCATTTAACTTGGAAACGAAACTGTTCGGTTTTTTCTGTGGGATGTAACTATACAAAAATTGTACTCGCTGTATGCATGAATGACAACGGTCAGGGTTAGCCTCGTTCGAGTTATTTATCTTTACAGTCCATCTACCTCCGAGCTTATTGTTTTTTAACTTTGGAACAAATACTGTTGCCGATAAGCGTACAATTTATTCACGATATTCCTCCACGAAAGAACAATCATTTAAATGCAAGTAGCGAAAAGTGAATGTGGAAACTTTCCATTTTCGAACATTGTTCCATCGGATAAAACGATTCGAGCATAAATGGGCGGTAATTACTTCAGCATTGGACTTTTGGACGCAAGTGTGATGTTTTCAGAGCCATTTTAAAGAACGTCGCTAATTGCGCAAAAAAAAAGTAATGACGATTATGTAATGGACACGATGAGCCTTAATGAACCCACTTTAGCCTTGAATTTCCGATAGAATATCACCTTTTGCGCGGGCATATTTTAAACTAATTGACCAAAAACTTGAGAGAAGAACGCCGCATTTAAATTCTTTACATATCGATTGCCTTTTCGATAAAAAGATGATTTTCCAGCACAGTAATAACTTTCACAAGGTCGTAACGACTTGTAGTTTCTACTTGTGCAAATAAATGACACTGTTTTCTCCTAAAACAATCGGTGAATGGGCATCACACTTGAACGGTTTCGTATTGTGTTTATTGCCGTTTTCTTGTATCCAATACATATTATGTGCATAATGGAGCCTTTCCACTATCTTTTCTCGGATCGACGTGGAATTCATTCTAAGTGGAACCGGTTTGTTGGGATTTACAAATTTTGTTCTGCAAATTCTTGCAAGGTGAAAAAACGATGATGATGGTCATTTTTGCGTATTTGTGTCGTAATTGGTAATTTAGGAAATTTGTAATGTTTCTTACTACTTGGTTTTCGGATGGATGATTAATCATTTGTTTCACGTACCTACTAGCATTTTTTAGATGCTTCATTCAATCGACTGATGGCCTACGCGAATCAAATCCATGTTTGCACCAAGCGAATATAATCACAAACTTGTGTAATATTTACTCAATCGTGAGACAGCAAATGTTTGCAATTCCTTATTTAACGAAATTAAGGAAATCAAAAATTAAAAAGAAAGAAAGTAAAACTTACGGCTTGGTTTCTACTCCGGTACGCTGTAAGGCAACCCAGTCATGTGTAGATCATCAATGAATGTAAGAACTGAGGAATAGTTATTATAGAAACTACGTTTTTGTATTTTTGTAAATTTAATTTTTTAAAATTTTAACGAAAAATGATTTATTAGTTGCTCGCGGACACCTTAAGCACTTATCGGGTTTTAAAAGATTAAAAATGTTAATTAGTTATTAATGTTTCATTATTTCAAGTGTATGTATTACTGAAATTGCGAGTATTAGCATCATATCTGAAAGTCTCATGAATTGTATGGTTTACCCTAAAATGCCCTGGGTTCGGTTAATATTCATCGATTAGTCAGTGTGTTGAAAATAATTTCTTACCTCAAATATCGCTGTGAGTGTAAAGTTCAGATTATGCGCGACTGACTACGATATTGACGAATTACCACAAATAAAACTGCGGAAAATCACTAAAATATGTAGCCATTATTCTTTCCGCCACTTCATTTATTCTCAACTGGATTGAAGCATTTTCAACTGTTTGCGCTTCGCTAATAGGATTGAATTCCATTAAGAATCCCATTATATAAATTAAATTTTACTCCAGTGGAATAAACGATTGTGTTTTAATTAATTTGTTTATTTTTCTCTGTAAACATCTCCAGTGTCGGCTCGAAAAAAAAACGTTACTGCTGAACTCACTACCGGCATCTTTTCAATAAATCAACATGTGCTGTTGAAGTAATAAGAGAACCTCTAAAAGAAACAAGAAATTAATTGGCAAACACATACACACTTGAGACGGAAGTCATAAACTAATTTTTAAAATTTTTAACAAGTGTAACACTCATCATAGCAACAATAACAAACTCTTGATATTATAAACAGCAATTTTCCGCCATAAACAACAGTTAGTA